TGTCGACATGAGATGGAATCCATTTGAATTTTAGATCTATTCCTAATTGATCGATCTCGGTGATCATATAATGAATTGCATAAAGCAGTTTAGGTCTACTGCTATTTCCATTTGTCAAGGATTGTAGGGAGCTGAGGGAGTCCGAAAGAATGACTACTCGTTCAAATTTGGTGTGTTTTTTCTTAATACCTAGTAATGCTATTTGAATAGCCATGTGTTCAGCTGTGTAGACCGAGGCTCTGTCACTTAGTCGAAGAGATTTTCTGATGTTATATGTATCGTTATATATACCTATCCCTACTCTATCATTGGTTGGATTTTTAGAGATATCGGTATAAAATTTAACGAAGTTGTTATATTTATTATCTATCAACTCTAATGCTAGGTGTTTTGCGCCTATCGGGTCGTGATGTTTATCTAACGTCTTATGCAGTAATAGCGATACGTTTGGTGATGTTTTTAACCACGGGACTTGGAAATCTTGTTTGCGGGAGATCTTGACACCTTCTAAACCATATATCTGTTTTAATCTAAGTATTTCTAAAGGATAGGGAGTCCTGATGTTGGTAACGGGTATTTCACTATTTAGTATTGCTTTATTTAGTAAGAACCTATCCCCATGATTTTGGGTTCTAGCCCAGTATTTTAGTGTAAGGTTTTCTCGCCTAAGTGTTAATGTTGTTTCGCCGGCCTCTGCTAGTAAACTATTGCTGTTGGTGTTTTTGATGGCCCTTAGCGCTACCCTTAAGGCTGTGTGTTGTATGACATCTAGATGTTTTAATACTGTGTCACTAGCTATATTATATACCTGGCACCCGTAATCTAACCTTGATCTAACTAAGGCCTTATATAACATTAATTGAGTTGTTTTATTGGCGCCAAATTTACAACCAGAAATATATCTCATGGTGTTAATTGCCTTTTGGCATGATTCCTTTACATATTGAATATGTTTACTCCATGTGAGTTTGTGATCGATTATCATGCCTAAATACCTAACTTGTTTTTCAAATTTTAATTTGGTCTGGCCTAGGTATAGTTCTGGTAGTGTTCTACTTCTAGAGAAATACATTGCTACAGTTTTTTGTTTAGATGGTTTAAAACCCCACTTATTGGCCCACTCATTAATTGCTGTAAGATTTTTTTGGATATGTTTGGTTAGATATCTAATGTTTTTGCCTGTACTCCAGATACACCCATCATCTGCAAATTGCGCTAACTTGGTGTTGTTGTTTAGCGTATCTGACAGTGTGTTGATGTAAATATTAAAGAGCGTTGGAGAAATACCGCTGCCTTGTGCTACACCGTTGTCTAGTTCAAGTTGATCCGAAAGAGTGTTATGGATCCTAACTTGAATTTTTCGGTTTTTAAGGAAACTGTTGACGAATTTGAAAATGTTACCTGTTATGCCAAATTTTTTTAGTGAGACCAGAAGTCCGTCATGCCAAATGAGATCATAAGCTTTTTCCAGATCTAAGAAGACAGCAAGAGTGTTTTGTTTGAGGTTAAAACCTGTTTTTATCTCTGAAGTAAGTCGTAGTAGTGGGTCTAATGTCGATCTACCCTTACGGAACCCGCTCTGTTCCTCGTTTATGATACCTGATCTTTCTAATGAGTGTACTAGCCTATTGTTTACCATAGTTTCCATAACCTTACACAGGTGTGAGGTTAGAGCTATGGGCCTATATGATGTAGGTTCTTGTGGATTTTTACCTGGTTTTAGTATAGGTATAACAATGGCATTTTTCCAAGATTCAGGTATTATACCCGTGTCCCATATGTGGTTGTAAAAAAGGAGTATGATGTCTGTAATGTTGTCTGGACAGTGTTTGAGTATGTTGTATGAAATATTATCATCGCCCGGGGACGTGTTTCTCTTGTTCTGTAGTGCTTGTTTGTATTCGGTGATTGTGAATGGGCAGTTGAGATCACCGGTGTTGGGGCCTGGGTCTTTGATTTCATTATCAATGGTGACTTGATTGTGAACTTTATTTAGTTTGAATTCAGGGGTCAAATTATCATTACTACTAGCCTTTTGATATTGTTTAGCTAGAGTATCTGCCTTTTCCTTATCGGTAATGTTGTTCTTACCTAGTATAGGGATTTCTGATCTACTTATTCCCTGTATAGCTTTGACCTTTGACCAAACGTTTTTCAAATTAGTTTTATTATTTAAAGATGTACAAAACTCTTGCCAATGATTGTTTTTGGCGTTTTGAATGATGTTATTGAAATTTGTTTTGCATCTTGTGTACTCTGTTTTTAATAGTTCACTATTTTTATTTGCCCTCCATTTCCTTTCGCTATTCTTTTTGAGTTTTTTGGCTAACCTACACTCATCGTTCCACCATGGATTGTTTTTCCTCGTTTTGGGTTTGCCTGAAGTTTTAGGGATAGATGTTGACGCTGTATCTAAAATAACCCTAGTTAAATTTGCATTAAAGACGTCAACATCTTGATCGAAAATTTCCTCATGTTGGATTATTTCTGCTAAAATTTTGAATTGGTCCCAATTGGCCTTATTAAAAACCCATCGTGGTGGGTATTGAATTGTATTGACATGAGGTTTAAAATCAATCAGAGTACGTATATTATATTTGTATACAGCTGTACCAGTAAATTCACTTATACGTGGTAATAGTGATTGAGTGATTCTGATGTGGAAGTGTTAGAGTGCTTTAAATATATCTTAATGGACGGAAATTTATACGATCGGCAGTGGACTTTACCAGGGCTTCATCCCCCCGGTTGCCGATCATAGTCGACGTACATGTATGTACATGTATATATATGTGTCGGACACAGAGTGCGTATATTATATTTGTATATACGTGGTAATAGTGATTGAGTGATTCTTATGTGGAAGTGTTATAGTGCTTTAAATATAACTTAATGGACGGAAATTTATACGATCGGCAGTGGACTTTACCAGGGCTACATTCCCCCGGTTGCCGATCATAGAGAGAATGTGTCGGACAGAGTATATATTAGGCCTATGTATACAGCTGTAAAAATAATTTCTTTTATGTTTGGCAAGTGTTTGTTTTTCCTGTGGATGTGTTAGTGATTACTGGATATTTCATTCCTTGTAATTGTACTCAGGTAAGGCTACGCACCACTGATCTTTATCGCACCTATACATGTATCATCTGTAATGTAGCTATAGGCTAGGCCCAGCATTACATGTGAAATGGCTATACGATAATATATTTGTCACTATGTTCCCATTATATCTATAGGTCCCCCTATGATCGCATAGAAATGAAGCAATGCTACCGCGGAGGGTAATGAGACCATATTCCTTATTATTATTTTTTAATTATAACTATTTTCCGGACTCGGCTTACCGTTCCCATTCTAATTTCCTTATCCGATATCTTCCAGTTTTGTCGCCTATTTCCGGTGCACTTGTCTCGTTGAGAATGTTGAGGCTCGAATGTTATAATAATTATGTCTCAATTTATTCCCTTTTTTATTACACCTACATAAATGTACCCTCGATGAATTTTACCTCTAATCGTTAATGAGACTATAACATTTCTCATGTAATATCAACCTTCGGATATCCTTGTACATTCTGTAGAATGTGGTTTTTTTTCTTTTCCGGAATTCGGCTTACCGGTCCCCTTTCAAATTTCCCATACATGTTGTCGATTCAATTTTTCGCTTATTTCTGGTGCACATGTCCCATGGAGCGAGCAAATGGTCACTTATTGCAGTGTTGAGTATGGTTATATATGTGTTTTTTTTTATTATGTAAATCCTCTATGCTAAAATGGGAACTGATCAACTTGGCCTACGATGTTAACATGGCAATATTGTTATTTTTCGTATTTGTGTTTTAACTGTTATTCTCCCGAACTCACTGTAATATATGTTCCTTTTCCGGACACGGCCTTCCAGTTCCCATTCTAATTTTCCTATACTACTTCCGGTTTATTGGCACGAATGGTGTGTAAGTTAGTAGTTGTTAATGACTTTGTCAACGAATGTTTTTTTTTTTTTAATGTTGCTTCTTTAATGTTTTCTTTCTTTTCTTTTCTGCCACGGGATGTTGAACTTCTTCTATTGTATTTCTTCGTAAAAAAAACTCTATAATAATGGCTGATTTAACTATTCTGTCAGCGAACTGTCAGGGATTAGGTGATAAGTTTAAAAGAAAAGACGTTTTCTCTTTTTTTCGGGAAAAAAATTACAACATCTACTGTATACAAGATACCCATTTCATTGAAGCTCATGAAAATATTATCAGGAATGAATGGGGTTACGAATGTTATTTTAGCTCGTTCAAGTCAAACTCCAGAAGGGTAGCTATCCTGTTTAATAACAATTCTGAATTTACAGTCAAGAAAGAAAAAAAGACACAAGGGGTAATTTGCTAGCAATTGATATTGAAGTAGAATCAGTAAAATTCACTCTAATTACTCTTTATGGGCCTAATTCAGATGATCCTATATTTTTTGATAACTTAAAAGAAACTGTGGAACAATTTGGTAATGACAGAACAGTAATCTGTGGAGATTTTAGAATTAATTGACCAGGAAAATCTTATTGACATATATAGACAGTATTATCCCAACCAGAGAAGATATACCTGGAGGAAAAAAAATCCACTCAAACAGTCAAGGCTAGACTTCTTTCTTACTTCAGACCCCCTTCTTTCAAGTACTAAAAGTGTTACTATAGAACCAGGATATAGGTCGGACCATTCCTTTCCAAAAAATTCTTTTCAGTTTAATGAATTTAAAAAGGGTAAGGGCCTATGGAAATTTAACAATTCGTTACTTTATGACTCTGAATATATAGAACTAATTAAAAATGTTATACTAGACACCAAAAAACAGTACTATTTACCTGTATATAATCATGAAAATATCAACCAAATTTCAGATTTTGAATTGCAGTTGACTATTAACGATCAATTATTTTTAGAGACTCTTTTAATGAATATCAGAGGGAAGAGTATTTCTCACTCTTCTTATAGAAAAAAGCAAAGGAATATGAGGGAAAATGAACTTAAAAACAGTATTAAGGACTTAGAAAATGAAGACATCCTTAACATAAATGAGATAGAAGTTAAGAAGAGGGAATTAGAGAATATTAGGAAACTTAGAATGAAAGGTAGTGTAGTGAGATCAAGGGCACAGTGGATAGAAGAAGGAGAAAAGCCAACAAGCTATTTTTTTGGTTTGGAAAATAGAAATTTTACTTCAAAAATAATCCCTAAAATTCAGATAGATGAAGGGGCCATTGTAACAAAGCAGGATGAAATTTTAGGTAAGTCATTTTATGAAAAGCTGTATGTTGTAAACTGCGACCTAGTTGATGTCAATTTAGATGATTTTCATAATTTTGATGATATTCCAAAACTTTCAGTTGCAGAATCAAAAAATTTGGAAGGGTTAATATCTTTGGAAGAGGCAAGTAAATTTTTGAAGACTATGAAAAATAATAAAAGTCCTGGATCAGATGGTTTTACTGTCGAATTTTTTTAATTTTTTTGGAAGCAATTAGGAATTTTTGTTGTTAGGTCTTTAAATTATGGATATCTGCATGAAGAATTATCAATTACTCAGCGACAGGCTATAGTCACCTGCTTACCAAAAGGCGATAAACCAAGACATTTTTTTTTGAAAAATTGGCGCCCAATCTCGTTACTGAATATTACTTATAAAATAGCTTCTGGGGTTATCGCTCAAAGATTGAAGTCAGTACTGGATAAATTAATTAGTAAAGATCAAACAGGTTTTTTATCAGGACGTTATATTGGAGAAAATACTAGGTTACTATATGATCTGATGCATTTTACAGAAGAAAATGATATTCCTGGCATGATTTTGATGATAGATTTTGAAAAGGCTTTTGATTCGGTATCTTGGAATTTTATTCAAAAAGTCCTGGTTTATTTTGGTTTTGGAAACAACATTCTTTCTTGGCTTAAAACTTTACATAAAAATGCATTAGCTTCAATCAATCAGGGGGGCAATTTATCTTCTTTCTTTGACATAAAAAAGAGGCTGTAGACAGGGCGATCCAATCGCACCGTATATCTTCATACTCTGTGCTGAAGTTTTAGCTATAAGAATGCGAAATAACACAAATTTAAAAGGTATTCAAGCTGGAGACATTCCTCTACTTCTCTCCCAATATGCTGACGACACATTTCTCATGCTTGATGGGACAGAACAGTCATTATCTGAATCTCTTAAAGAATTAAATATGTATGCAAGTATCTCTGGACTAAAAATAAATATTGATAAGACTCAGATTATATGGATAGGATCAAAGAAGCACACTCAGGATACATTTTTGCCGGAGTTAAATTTACAGTGGGGTCGGGAAAGGTTTAATCTTCTAGGGGTAGAATTTGATGTAAATCTACACGCTATGCCTAAAATAAGCTATGACAAAAAGATTGTTAAACTGAAAAATATTGTGAATATATGGAAAAGAAGTCTTACACCCTTAGGAAAAATACAGATAATTAAATCCCTCCTGATTTCACAATTTAACCACCTCTTTATAGCCTTACCAAACCCAGATGAAAAGACTTTCAATAAAATAAACTCCATTTTATTCGAATTTTTGTGGAATAGTAAAGTTGATAAAGTTAAGAGAAGTACTATTGTTCAAGATTATCTAAATGGTGGATTAAAAATGATCAATATAAGGGCATTTGCAGATTCATTGAAGTTGAGTTGGGTCAGAAAGCTCTATAATTCACCCGGTAAATGGTTTTCAATATTAAATACTTTTGTAGACATAGATTACTTACTAAACATTGGCGGGGAATATATTCAAAATTGTCAAGGAAAATGTAACAATAAATTTTGGAAAGATATTTTTAAAACATGGTACAAATTACATATTTCGAAGGAAATGACTATCAGAAGAGAGCAATCAGTTTTAGGAATACCCCTTTGGTTCAATAACGATATTACTGTGTCAGGGAAATATATCTTTTACAAAGAATGGTATACAAAAGGAGTAAGGACAATAGCTGATGTGTTAAATGGAGATGATAATGGAAACTTTCTCAGTTTTGAAGATTTCAGACATATGTACAATATAACTACTAATTTTCTCAAATACCGAGGATTAATATCATCTGTAAAAAAATATTTACTCAATCATTTTCCTTTAGAGACTACAGTTATGCAACCAATCATACTGTTGCATATACAATTCTTTTTGAATAAAAATAAAGGCACAAAAGATTTCTATGATATTCTAAACAAAAACTTCAGGGAACCAACAGGTAAAAAAAAAGTGGGGGGAACAGTTCGAACTTACTAATAGAGACTGGGAAACCATATACAAAATACCTTTTTTGGTGACGAAAAACACTAAACTCCATTGGTTTCAATACAGGTTAACACATCACATTCTAACAACAAATTCCTGACTATTTAAAGCAAAACTAGTTGACAGTCCTTTATGTAATCTGTGCAATTCTGAAAGAGAATCAATAACCCATCTTCTTTGGGAATGCCAAGAAGTCCAAAATTTTTTACAAGCTCTGGAGACACTTACTGATGCATTATTTATACCTTTTTCTATCAACAAACAGTCTTTTTTGTTTGGAATAATAAACAATAGTCCCAGTTTTAGAGTGGATAATGAAGTAATTTTAATTATCAAACACTATATATACAAAACTAGATGTCTGCATAATTCTTTAAACATCTGTTCTCTTGTTAAAATCATACAAGACCACTTTTCTACACAAAAAATACATTTCTAACAACAAAAATGAGACATATAAGCTAAAATTCACAAATGAATTGAAAAAATGGGAAAATTATATCAAACTTGATATATAATATCTGTGCCATATCTTCTTATTCATTAGTATACTTCTCGACAGAGCTGACTGATCATATTTTCTTATTTACCTAAATCAAGTTAAATCAACATCCCATGGTTGTGTCTGTCTGTTTGTTTTTTGTTGTTGTCTCTGCGTCTGTGCGTAAACTGTCTGTCTGTTTGTCTGTTCTTGTTGCTGTATGTTTGTGTGTCTGTTTTTGTCTGTGCGTAAACTGTCTGTCTGCTTGTCTGTTCTTGTTGCTGTCTGTCTGTTCCAGGTCTGCCCATCTGTTTTCCCCCTCCCTTTAGTGATGAGAAGTAGGTATGAGAGCAATGTATATATGTATGTATGTGAATAAATAATGTGTATGTTATAATTGTTTGTGAATATTAAGTAAAATGAGAATTTCTTCTGGATGACTGTCGTTCCGAAAGATGTTGATCTGATAATGGCATTATACATGTGTGCATGAAGCTGATGACTGTTGTATGTGATAGACAATATAATAATCAAGATAATGGCAATGATTTTAGTGAGGAGTGTAGGTGATTATTGAAGATAATAAAAATAGTAATTAATTTGAATGTGTGTTTGTGCAGGTCTGGGTGTGACGGTGTGTATGTGTGTGTGAGGGAGGATGTGTGTGTGTGAATGTCTCTTCTTTTTCTTTGTGTTATATTTTGCATCAAATTCAGAAAAATAAACAATTACAAAAAAAAGGAACTGTTTATTGCTAGATTTGGGCAGAAAGCCTCTGACAACAAATTTTTCGGTACTAAAAAAACAACCAGATAAAAATGTTGACAGGTACCTAGAACGAATAGAAAAACTGGTACTTGGACATAACTTGCGAGAATGTTCAAAAGTACTGATGGCAATGAATAGCCAGCGCAGCAAAATCAAAAGCATCGGAAAGTTACCAGCAATATTTATGGTTCTAAGACATTATTTGGACTAAGCAAAATAGGTGCTGGCATTGCAGTAGTACCAACAACAACAGCAACAGCATACATGCAACTTACAATCAAATGCAAACAATCATACATTTGAAAATCTTCGAAACTGATTATATGACATCAATCGCGAATTAATCCAGAATTAGATGTAATTACAATACATTGAAATTCAATATAAGCTCTATGATGACGTAAGTTTCCTTTCGTTTAAACATATTTTATGCAACAAAGTTGTAAATGGATTGGGTACAAGTTATTTCAACTTATAAAACGCCCTCTCCAAAACACAAGCATATAAATACAATGTTCATAATAACATTATGACAATACGTATTTCAAATCAACAACAAATGACTATTTCTAAAAAGAGAGTGGGGAAGTAAGGGAGAGGGAGAGAGAGAAGGAAAGGGATGGGGAAGAAGAGAGAGAGAGAGAGTTTGGGGGGGGGAGGGGGAGAGATAAATCAGTTACATCGGATTTATATATTGAAAATGGCATGAAACCTACTACAGGACTTTAAAAAGTGCTGAACACATAGGAAAATTTCACAGTTTGTATCATGCGACAATTCTTTGTTACAAAATAAAAGCAAATCTAAATCATAAGGAACCTGCAAATGAATATTTCTTTCAAAACGACCACATACAAAGAAAGTGAACTTTAAAGAAGCCAATGATCTTCAAGAGTTTTCAAGAGAATTCCAAGAACTAATGGTTGAAGGAAAGAAAGAGGAGCTCGTTAAAGTTCATCTACTATATGGTACTCTGTAATCGTTTGTGTTTCTTAAAAGATATCGAACATCGTCTTGGACAGAGGAGGGAAGTAAAGAGGAAAGATAATCCGGAGTTTGATTATTACGTATCTTATACAAAAGCTGAAGTTTTCTTCTCTTACTTCTAGTCGATAGAGTTTCTAAACCTGTTTCAAAGTATAAAGATTGGTTACCTGTATAAGATGGAAGACCTGTGATAATTCTGGCTGCTTCACGTTGAGCTTTTTCTAATTTTTCCGATTCAGAACTAGTGCAATTTCCCATAATTCACATCAATATTCTAAAACAGGTCAAATAAATGTTCGGTAAATTCTCAATAGAGCATTTCGTTTTAATATAAATTTCAATTTTCTCGTGATATTTTTTTCATGACAGAAGTATATACTGCTTCTATATGGTCTCCCCATTTGAGAACTGAGTTAAGAGTAACACCTAAATGTTTATGTATATCTGTAAAGTCTAGGAAGCTTCCATCAAATTCAAGTTCCAATAACTCATCAATGTCGTTTCTATTTGAGATAAATAGTACATCTGTTTTAGCAGGATTAAAAGTTACTAACCAAGTTTTAGCCCACGTATTAAGGTATTCGAGATCTTTATTTCGAGTAGTTTCAATTTCAAGACAAAAGGAAGAAGAATAATGGAGTAGGGTGTCATCAGCGAAAATATGAGATGCAGAATCAAAAATATCTGCTATATCATTTATATTTATCAAAACCAATAAAGGACCAAGGATTGAACCTTGTAGCACCCCTGCATCAATAGAACCATTTTTCGAAGAAGAATCTTTAATACATAGAATTTGTTGCCTTTGATGTAAATAATTAATTGTTAATGATTTAACCAAGCCAGTAATTCCCCTCCTATCCCATAGGATTTCAGTTTTGATAGTAAACCCTTGTGCCAGACACGATCAAAGGCTTTAGAAATGTGTTATATACGTCTCTGTTTATAGTAAGTTATAATAGACAGCCTAGGATATAGTTTCGTCATTATTAACTTATTTCACTCAGGTACTTACAATTGTGGTTTCTTTTACTCATGCTACACAATCGTGAAAGAAACCAAAATGTTTCCAACGTCCGCTAAATATACTTCCTCTATTTTTTGTATTTCAGGTTTGTTCTCTAGGCTACAGAAACAGACGCAAATTCGTCAAAAATGGAGTGGAGAAAAGCAAACAAGTAGGTAATACAGCAGAGGATAAATAACTAAAATTGGCTGTACTTTAAAATCAATAGAAAACATCGTTGGTTTTTTTTAGAGTATTTTAATTTCTAATCATAACATATATATCATTTTTTTCCCCGGAGAAACCGATTCCGAAACTAGCATATTCATTATTCTTTACTATATACCTTATCCATTTACCTGCATTTACATGTCCTATGGTGCCATACGAATGTTTGCATAGACGTAACACCATAGTCACAAAATATTTATTTATAGAACTAGTAACAGTCTGACATTTTTCCAGATACCTGATATTTACTGGAGTTATCGTCTTGGGTTTTGGCATTACTTGGTTATTCATTGCTGCAACAGAAACTACTATTCGACAACCAACATACCGAGAAGTGAAGTCCGTTCATTATAACCGGTCTCTGTCAATTCCAGTGTATTTCTACAAAAAACAAATTGATCTTGTAGATCCGTTTCATCAATGTGAATATCGATGTCATCTGATTGACGGGATTTCAAACAAACGTGATGCAGTAATCGTGTTTCAAGCACCATCTTTATTCGATGAGAAACCACTGAAAAAATATTCGGGACAGCTTTGGGTGTTTTTTTCCATGGAAGCTCCTACGTATCATCCTCCATCGAATAAAATTAAAAAATGGGAGAATCTGTTTAACTGGACGATGGGTTATAGACGAGATTCCGATATAGTGCATTTTTACGGTAGGTTTCATCGCCTACCGAAAACTGGCGAGGAAATCAATATAACATCTACGTGGTATTCACAATTAAATAAATCTATTTTATTTGTGTCTCATTGTGGAACTGCTAGCAGGAGGTTAGATTACATTAACACTATGAAGTCATTCTATGATATTGATATCTACGGTGCTTGTGGGAAGTTAAAATGTCCTAAATCTAAATGGGGTGAATGCCACAAGAAAATTGAAAATTACAAGTTTTATTTGGCATTTGAAAATTCCCTGTGTAAAGACTATATAACGGAAAAAATGTTTAAAATATATTGGCTGAATTCAAAGGCAATACCTGTTGGACGTGGACCTACACAATACGATGTTTACTTGCCCCCAAATACTTATCTAGACACGTCTAAATATAGATCTTCCAAAGAATTAGCGGATCATATGTGGCGTCTTTCGAAAAACGAAAGTGAAGCAACAACATACTTTAAATGGAAAAAATCCTTCTACGTGGACAACAATTTTAATAGCCGTGGATTCTGTGAACTGTGTAGACGACTCCATCATCCTACAGAACTAAAGAAATATACACGACTTTACACGAACATTGACATCTGGCTTCGCGGTGGAAAAGATACAAACATTTGTAGACCTCCTACTGATCTATAATTTTTTTAAAACGAAATTCTTTGGACTTCGAGAACGGATACGCAGTATGTACTACTTAACCCATGAGTCTGACAGCACCTTGAGAAATCGTTACAAATAACGTAATTTTCTTGTGTAATCGAAATTTCTAAAGCACCAACAAAGACTTTCTTGGGGTAATGCTAATTGAATTTGTCTTCTTGTTAATGAATCGTCCGCCAATTCTCAAGAGAAAAAAATTTTAACTAGAAAAGAAAATGTTATCGACAACAATACAAAGATTCTGTGAAATGTAGACGGCTCCATCATCGTACGGAAGTAAAGAAACGACTTTACAGGAACATTGACATATAGCTTCGATATGGGAAAGATACAAACATTTGTAGGCCTCGTTTTGATAAAGCTTCCTTTGTGAAAAGTCATCCTGATTACATGCTGTTTACAGTTTATCATGAATCGACAATCAGTTATTGATGAACAGTTTTGAAATCCGTTTTTGTGTTTAGAAATAATATGTAGGAACAGAAGAGTGCGAGTTATATTTGGCTAAATAAAAAAAGATACACTTAGTTGTGACATTGTGCCTTTTAAATTTGATTAGTGATGAAAAACAGCTGATGCGATGACGGCAAAGCCGGGGAGTTAATGAACTATTTAACACAAAATTCTGCTTCTGTCGAACAGACTGACACACGCGTCTTGATGAAAAAAGTGATATTTATACCTGCTCCTTGTAGTTATAATGCTTTCTTGTGCTCAAGGTTTTCATTTAATCGCAATGGAACAAGATGCGAAATTCCTGGTACGTCTGTCTTATTCACATGTGCGTTATACTAAGAAACGTGAGGCGGAACAATGTTTGTGCCTAAAAGAAAACATCTTTGAGAAAGCACGTCATGATAGCAAATGTTGAATAAAACCGCCATTTTGGAAAAATACTATTTACATGTCATCGTAAGAGGATTTTCCTGCTTAGCTGAAAGTCCTTTAATCAAGCCGATGATTTGGCAGTTTGTCGGTATCAGATGCTACTACGTTTGTGAAATTAAATAACATTGGATTATGTCTAAGGTCATATGGTGAAATAACGTGATGAATTTGTCTGACTTACTAGAATATCTAAATAGATGGTTTAGAAAAACTTATTATCTATTCAGGTTGAAATGTGTTTAGACAGGATATTCAGCATGATTGCTTAAAGTTGATTTAATTTGATTTGAAATAGACCCACATAATTGGATATTCGAGATTTCGAGATGTGTGCAAGACTATGTCAATAACTCGTGTATAATTCAATCCATGTTTACCTGTTAGCTAATGTGTAAAAGTGTTTTATCAGTTAATTAACATGGCTAGTATAAATACGACCACATTTCTAGCCAGTATGGATCGGTTCCTGAAGGGAGAGCGGAGGCCAGACAGGAGAGAGACTAGTCTCCACTGGCGGGATGCCCGCTCGCTCGGACTTTTGCCCGAGAGAGAACACATCCACTTCTTAACTTTGTTACCGTAACAGATGACTATTGTATATAGTTTACATGTATGTTGTACATAAATTCGTGCAGCCGATTAAAATACATCCAACAGAAACTGGACTTCTATCAAATATAAACTCGAAAAACATCTCAACGTTTGAAAGTTAACACGTTTTCATTTTACAGGGAACTGGTTACGGTTCAATCATATTTTTTACTTCCCACTGGTCTTTTATCTATCCTTTTGTTATCCTTCATTATTCATTTATTCTTTATACCTTGTTCTAATAGGTAATCGACACTACGCTCGCATACTCTGATACAAATGTAAAGCAGACATAACCTGAGATATAAATACACATACAATTTCTCGCTCTGGTGACTTAAGTATATCTTTGTAAGGCATTGACAATAATTTACATATTTTGAAAAAGAAATTTTGCATTTACCACATCAATGAAACCAAGTAAACATATTATTTATTCATTGAATAAACTTGTTTCGTAAACCAGAAGACGGGAATTATTAGCTGGTATGTAGTCACATCAAATACGTGTATCGTCAGTGAAATGAAAATATTGTTTTGATATTGATATAAACTGACTGCTTGGTATCTCCGGCCGTGACTAACCACATGTACTGCCATCGAAGATGTTGATTAAGTGAAGGTGAGTACACAATATTTGCTGACTGCTGATTTTGATCGTAGGGACATGAACATGTCAGAATCAATGTTTTACCTGCGTTCTTTTAATCTCTTAAAGTCATAATATCTAGCTATAACTGAAAAATTTGTGTCAACTGGTGTCATATTCTAAAATAACTCGAATGAAGATGAACATGTAACCTCAATGGTCTTATCGCCGCATACAAAACGGAAATTATATCATATATACTCATGTCAGGAATTCTAAATTTAAGATTGAGAGATTGATGAAATATGAATGATAAATTATGTCGCCAGTATATAAATAACCGATAACCAGATTAAGAAATCAATATTATTGATGACGTCCAACAAAGTTAAAAACACTGTCTTAGAATCAAAATTTGTATCAAATTATAATTCAAAGAGTAGTTAAACAAATGTTATGACGAGTGATATAACTGATATGCTGACAATACATAAGCACAACATTGAACATCCAGATATCTAACTGGAAATCTATTTTGTAGTTAGAGATCAATCAGAATTTATCATCACAACCATACTGTGTCAAATGTAACACTACTATTACTGATAATGTGCCACAAATCAGGGTTTTTTTTCTCTATGCCCATGATATCCAAATTTTTAACTACAAACAAACGATGAAACAACTGAATTAGATGACCTGAGAACTACTCCATCAGCTTATTTTTGTTCCATTTCTGCTTATCACTATAGTCAAGCTGGGCACATAATAACTTTTGATTTAAACATGTAAAGTTGCAAACACTTTTCATGAAGGGTCCTAAATATCGTGATTACCTGTTCGTTGGAATACGAATTTATCATATGATGCTTAAAGATTTAGTTAAAATCTATGCCAGAGAATGGGAGAAATGACAACATACTGCGTTGAATTCACCTTCTTAATTTAAGAAGATAAATTCGGTTTACCATTCTTAAAAGAATTTGCAACTTGAAATCTAAAAAGAAAACAAAACACTGGTCAGCGATCCTTGATCGTGATGTTAAATTTACACTTCAGGATTTACACATGGGTATGCTATTGTACCTGGAGATAAGGCCTCCAATTAATTGACATCATTACATTTCCTGTATACAAAAAGAAGTAGGTTTGCTTGGTAATGAAGGAGACCCCACATTTTCATTATGCAGTCTTTCCAAAGGAGAAATACTGGTTAATCATGCTGCGCTATCACACTCATTGAGATTGCCTATTAATGATAAGGATACGGACCTCCCCTGTTTATATTGGATTCCTGAACTTAACGAGAAAAACATATAGCGTTTTATTGCTGATTCGTTTAGCTGTTCAACCAAACCTACTAATTACCCATAACACTATTAACAATATGTGTTAGTCGTATTGTGATACTTATTACCAAAGAAATGGAAATAACTAATAACAATGTGGATTTTAAAGAACTCCAGGCTTTTTACCAAGTAAGGTACAAATATATGTTTATGCACTACGCTGAAGCGGGTTTTTTTTGTGAATTCCTAGAAGAAATTAACCGGGAAGAAATCATTCAAATGAGTTTTTGGTTGACAACATTTTCGTCGACTCTGGTGGTAATCCAATAGATTACTGTGCGCCTGTCTTGGCGGATATGTTTTCATATGAAACTTAATTCATCAAAAAGGTTATCAAAACATAAAGATCTTGCAAAGTCGTATCACTTCCTTTTCAGCTATATATATGAAGCAAAAGTCCTCGACATACAGAAAAATCCAGGTTAATGAAAATTAAGGGGAAGTTTTACGTCGTCCTGGTGATCTCATTGAGAAATATTTCGTTTCTTCGTACAATATGAAGCTGGCGTATTTGATATTCATTAGTTTGCCTGTTGGTTCCATTGTTATATATTTTGATCTCATTTGAGAACGTAATTTAACTTTTTCGGATTAACCAATATTTACATGACGGGTAACAGAAGATGCTTACTCTTCCGCAACACATGATCTTATTCTCGGGCTTCTTTTTCAGAATCTGCCTGTAAATATCTTTTTTGTTCATATTTTGCACTAGGTTTATATAATTAGAGCCAATCAGAATTTTTTCGGACACCAAGGGAAATATTGCCTCCAGAGGGAATGAGGAAACTCTGAAAATTGCTAAGCCAAAATCTATCCTATCAAGAATGTTGTAAGAGAAGAGATAATGCTAACGTTATAATTAAGGGAAACTTAAATGATGTTTGCATGGATTTTCTAGTTATTTATGTACACGGCACATTTCCATTCGTGTATTTACATCAGTTATCTACCCGTTCTTGTCAGGTGAACTTCCCTTGTTACCACACTCCATTGCACACAATTCCTTTTCACAGCTTGTGGTCATAATTCGATGGACTGTGGTAAAAATTAAAGAGCACTTTGTCATTTTGAGCTGTATATAAAGTATGCAGTACGAAAGGCCACCTTTTGACATTCGGTCAAGTGTGACCGAATGGAAATCCAAGGAAGGGGTTAAACATTGTATGAAGATCTCAGATTGATTAGGCGGCTAATAAAGTATGCCAAGATACATTAAACAGGCATTTGGTAGTTAACGGAGTAATATAAATATTTCATTTACCAACAGACATGAACCATGAAATTAATTAATTCAAGACAATTTCATGTTTGGATTCGCTTCGTCCAAGTCAAAATGGCGGGTTTGAATGAGAGCAGCTAGATGGTACTACTAAATTTCTATTGAAACATACTACACATAATGCTATTTTGGCATAGTCGTAATAATGATATAGCTTGATGTCTGGTTCTTTTCACAAAGATCAATTAAAAGGTAAAAAGATGTTTAGTTTCCCCTTCATGGATGTTAAAGCCCGTGTCACTTTAATACATATGAAATGGACTGTCGGTTGAGAATTGAG